CTGAGCTCCTCACTGGTTGAAGCATAGCTAATCTGTGGAGAGCAGCAATGCAATGAAAAAAGATTGATAAGGTTCTCACACACACACAAGTAAAAATCCATACAATTTTATATCAATGATCGAACATTTTTTAAACATGTCCTGTAAAGTTGAACTAAAAAAAGAAAAGAGCAAATATGTCTGAGGGAAAAATTTAAAGAATAACATCTAAGTGTGTGTGCATCCTTAAAAGATCATTTGTTTAACCACCGTCTGAGTTTTCACTTGTAAAAAAAAAAAAACGTACTCATTAATCTCGGTCATCCTATAAAACAGTGTTTCCCAACCCTGGACACTGCCCTGCATGTTTTAGGTATTTCCTTGCTTCAGTCCAGCTGATTTCAATCGATGACTGATTAACAGGCGTTTGCTGAACTGCAATCAGCTGAAACAGGCACATTAAAGCAGGGAAACCTCTAAACCATGTAGGACAGTGTGCCTTGAGGACCAGGGTTGGGAAACACTGCTATAAAAGGTTAATTTTTACCTTATAAAAATTTTTATTCTTTGGCTACAAACATTGTTTGAGAAGAAGTTACTAAAAAATATACAGCTTTGTATTTACCATCCAACACTGAGACAATCAAGCTTAAAGGATAAGTTCACAAAAGTATATTTGGGATAAAAAACAAACTCATCACCAAATGAATGCCATACCCACATGTGGTGCGGGCCTGGTTTTCTAACAGACACTGAAATTGTGAACAGCTTTATTTACCAATCTCTTCTACCCCAAAATCTTTAGATGACTGTAAGAGAGCTGAAGATGAAAAAGGGTATTNTTCTNCAGTTCTACAAATCAACAAAGATAATTCACAAGCTCAAACTTATAATTTTGAAACAAACAAGCAAGAGTTCAGAGATAAACTGAACAGAAAGAATTGCAGGGTTGCCTAGGGAGCCATTTGAACATGACATAAATATTGTCACATAATTTTCTAAATCTTTCTACTTTTCAGAACTTTTGCAAGGCATTGCAAATAATATTCGTAGGTTAAAATCTGGGATGCTGATAGACTCCAACCAAAGATAACGAAGATAAGAAAAAGATAGGTTCATCAAAGTTCAGGGGTGTGCACAACTTTGCAACTAGAATGTTGCAGCTTTTTAAATTATGTTTTTCCTTCTGATAGACTTGTTGGTTTTTTAGTCTTACTTTACATAAATCCTAAATGAAATTCTAAGGACAGAAGAACTTATCTGAATAATTTTCATGGTCTAATTTTATTGCGTTGCAAGCGAGAGACAAACCTGTGTGACTGATGGTAGAGCAAGTACCCTTGCAACTGCTATGGATAGCTCAGAGTATCTCTCTCCAATAACCACCTTCGTCTCAGGTTCGGGCAAGGAGGAATTGATGGATGCAGGTATGAGACACCTCTGAGGATCTGATTGGTCCTTCAGCAGCTGCAGAGTTGCTCTGATGGCGAGGCTGACATCTCCACAAGTATCATAAATGTCATATCCAAGGGTGAGGTTGGGCAGCAGTCTCGGCGTTCGTTGGTTTATCTCTTGGATAGAGTAGATCATCACTTGGGTACGTAGGAATGTTTGGATGCTAAACCTGCAAAAGAAGGCATGAAATAAACAGTACATTTTCTAGCTATGTAAATTGAGTTTTTGTCGAGGGCATACTTACTCTTCACAAGATATTGGACCAGGAGCTTTTGTTCTGTTGGTTTTTTCGTGAACGGGAAAAAGACCTCCAATAATAACGTCCCCATAAAGATACGCATGCAGATCTGTATTTTTAGTGCTAGAGTGAAACACACACATAAAAGTTACAAGTAGCTTCAACAGAAACATGGTGCTCACACAGTTTGATCAGATGTGTGTGCTGTGGTTTCTGTCCCCTTCCTTGTCAGCTGGTTCCTGGAAAATGTTTATCTAATAAAGATCCAAAACAGCCTATGCTGTTGTCGATCATTTGCATTCTCAGACTCTTTTCTGTTGATATTGTTAGTACAGGATACTGACATTAAAGTAGAAAGGTAATTCAAATCATCCTTCTACGGATTTATCACCCTCACTGCGTGTCATCATCACAGTGGTTCTGCACATAAACCAGTCTGAAAAATAAATGTACCCCTGCTGCAGTTTACACTAATTTCCATGAGAGGGCATGCTTCATACAAATTCACTTTTTTGATCACTGTTCAAAATTGATTTTAACCTTAATTTAGGGCTAAAAACATCTTAATATTTAATCACTTTAAATATGAAAGCGCATTGAGTGTGTTGGGAGTCTTTTTGCAACATTACAGCACATTAGTATGATTTGATTTATACCATTTCATTTTAGTTTCAGTTCACTGGTTTTCTGAAAGGTGAACCTCCATCTGTCTCAAGGCCATTGAATCCTAAGACAACTTTTGTCCACTACTGGCGTGCATTTACCTCCCTGGCCTGCCACCCCGTGCTTCAGTTTAGGTGGGTGGACAAGTCTTAGATTTCAATCTCACGGAGAGTTCTGTGAGATGTTGAAAGCTTGAGATATTGTTTCGAAACCTAATCCTGCATTAAACTTCTCCACAACTTCACAACTGGCCCATCTGGTATGCTTCACGTCCCTTTTTTCTCTCTTTCTCTTATAGTCTGTTAACCATTGAGGTATTACATGAAGACCCTGGAAGTTTGCAGTGGATTTATTATGAAATTTACATTCACACAGAGGTAGCTTTTTATGTTAAATGGTTGCATTTGGCGTAACTCTGGGGTATAAGAGTTTTTGCATAAATAATATGCAAAAAACTGTTGGGTTTTTGCATATTATATATGCAAAAACCCAACAGGTTTTTGTCAGACACTATCATTTATGCAAAAACATTTTTATAAAATCATCCCCAATATCAACTTCAGAAAGTGAAAAAATTTAAGAAGCTTTAAACTCAGAACGTCTTTAGTCTATGATAAATTGGATTTACCCTCATTTAACGACTTAAAGGGTCTGGATTGGATCCCCGACTCTCCACGCCTTATGGGTAGTGGTCGTGCAGGATATAAATAGGAGTTCACCCTGCTGTAAGCCAGTTGGACGAAGTCGAGATGGTTTCATTAGTGTGGAAGGTGGTGGTCTTTGGTATCCTGGCGGCCGGATCTCAGGGCTCTCTCCCACAGCCCCGGTTGCACCGTCAGGTGTCTACAGGGCGCTATGACCTATCAGCGGACTTAGCGTCTGTAGAGGCGCAGAGTGAGAAAGGCTTTCAGGAGGTCCGGCGGGGTGGCGAGAGAAGCGTCCAGCTGCAGCGGGGAGCGCGGAAAAATGCCGACATCTACCTGGGGCACGAGGGACTGAGAGATGACGCAGGTTGGGCGTTTTTTTTTTTTCTTTCTTTTTTTTTTTTTTTTTTCCCGTGATCATTTTAACTGCTAGCTAGACCATGCGGTTGTAGGGTTTATTTGACATCCCATTGCAGTAGAAATTGTTACTGGTTTATTAGCACTTAAAATAATAATACAACTCAAACTTGGATGCGGAAGAGAGCACTATTTAGCTCTCTTCCGACACACACACTTTTCTTAATTTGCTAAATTGATCGCAATAAGTCTTGGTTTCATGGGTCCAAGCCATCTCAGCGTAAAGCTGCACCATCTGGCTCCTTGCAGCCTGCTGGAGATTATCCAGCAACAATCAGTAGCAAGCACTGAACATCTCAACATAAGAACTATGTACAGAAAAATGTGTGAAATTTTTGAAATGTGTGAAATATATATATATATATATATATATATATATATATATATATATATATATAATTTTATTTTCTGTTTGTTCATTGTTTTGTGCTAAACATATTTTCAATATAATTTCTGGAAGAAAATTAACCAACCAGTAAAATCAAATATAATATTAGAACGTTTGTCTTTTCTGTTATTGGGCTTATGCAATAAAACAAAAAAGAAAAATACATAAAAAAAGAAAAATACATGAATACATATGGATGCCAGTGATGGCAAATGCAGTGCATGTGTGCTGTCATGTTATAAAATAAGAAAATCAATCAAATAACGCATGAAACACATATATAGACATGATACACAAATGTCAAAATACAAGTAGCTAATAAAACACCTAATTCACTTTTCCTTGTAAGGATATTTTTTTCTCTCTGCTTACAAAAAAGAGAACATATAACGAATCTAATAAAATTGTTCTTTTTTCTTTACAGCAACAAGAACTAACTGCAAAAATCGCCCAATTGACCTGGTTTTCATCATGGACAGTTCACGCAGTGTGCGCCCTGTTGAATTTAAAAAGGCCAAGGAGTTCCTGCAGGACATGGTGGACAGCCTGGTCATCGGCAGAGATGCCACTCGTGTCGGCCTCGTTAATTATGCGAGCACAGTCAAGATTGAGTTCCTCCTCAACACTTTTTTTGACAAATCATCTGTGAAGCAGGCACTCGGCCAAGTTGAGCCCTTAGCTTCAGGCACCATGACGGGAATGGCCATCAGGACCGCCATGGAAAAAGCCTTCACCAAGGAGGCCGGGGCCCGATCCGCTTCCATGAACATTGCTAAGGTGGCTATTATAGTGACCGATGGCAGACCTCAGGACAAGGTGGAGGAGGTGTCAGCCACAGCCAGAGCATCTGGGATTGAAATCTATGCAGTGGGAGTTGACAGAGCTGATATGGCTTCCCTGAAACTTATGGCCAGCCAGCCACACGATGACCATGTCTTCTATGTGGAGACCTATGGTGTGATCGAGAAGCTTACGTCTAAGTTTAGGGAAACTTTGTGTGGTAAGGATGATGATAATGGGAGTGCAGATATTGATGATAACGGACTAGGCCTAAATGACAGGAAAGACGATAATAAGCGTGTCAGTGAAGGGAACAACGGTATGTCAGATCGGTCCTATTCTATTCACCTGTGAGCATATGGGCAGCACCATAGAGAGGATCTTCATTCTAAGGCTAGTGGTCCTCTTCTTTAATTTTAAGTGCAGCACAAAGACAACCACTAATTTATCACTATTTGGACATGCTACTGAAAAGACGTCCAGCAACTGAAAACACTGAGTGGTATTAATGCAGTAAGCATTAAGCATAAATAATAAGTTCCACACTAACCAACTTAAAGAAGAGACAATTCAGATTCTGACCACATTCTTTAAAATGTAGGAAACTTCATATGATGCTGTCTATTCTGTTCACAGAAATGTGCTGCTGCTGCTGTAATAAGTGCTGCAAGCCATTAAAAAGTTGTCTAAAGCAGGAACTCACTAAAGGCAACTGCTTTGCAATTAGAGCTTTAAAAAAAAGCATCAGAAAAGTCTTTTATTGGCATTATTTTTTAAGTAGGAAATTTCTTTTGTTCTCTTATATTTAGAACTTGACTAAACACAGCCACTTTCCTAAAGAAGTTTTAAACCATACCTTGTGGTTTAAAACATTTCATTTGATTCTTTTTACAATATTTTAAAGAAAAAAATGCTTTACACACATTTCTCAGCTAAGCAACCATACTCTATCAAAGCTAATGTACTTAGCTTGGACCTGTGCTGAAGACTAAATACTAAATACATTTCTTACGATGACATTCACTAGCTCAAACATCGCAAATAACTGGTCCCTTGGAAAAAGCTTCCTGTTAAACATACAGTTGAACCTAAAGAGTATTTGGGGGTTTTGGTGTGAACAACTTGTGTTTTACAGCAATGGTAAAATCCTCACTGAAGACAAGTTTTGTGATTGGGTTCACTTTTTATTTGACTGCATGGTTCACATATGGATGGGCTGTAGTTGGAATTTATAGAAACTGAACTACTTAAATACGTCTTACAAATACATAAAATTCAAATCACATAAGATAAATGTGACATCTCTTCAGCTGAATAACAAAGATCATACAACCTTACCTGCATGTGGCAGATTATCTCAATACTCACAGACTAACCAAATAATACAAGGAAAACTGATTTTACTGTGATTTTAGTAAGCATAAGCCAATCAGACAGTGAAGTGTTTCCTTTTAGGTTTGGATCCGTGTGATCAAGGACACAACTGTCAGCATATTTGTGTCAACAGTGGTGACTCGTACATCTGCAAGTGTCACCCTGGCTACATCCTGAATCCAGACAAGAAAACATGCTCACGTAAGAATAAAAATAAATCTTATTTCTCAGTATTCAGCATACCTTAAGATTAAATATTGTACAGACATGTCTTTTGTTAGTTAGCTATAAGATT